GGGGCTGGAAAAACCTCACCTTAAAACTTACATTCACTTTTTCTTCGAAAAATATATGTGAGTTCCACAAAAGGGAAGAAATAGCAGCCTAATTAGTCAAGCTTCTAATTAGCACAATTTTAAACTCATTAATGTCTGTAATGGGGAGCGGGGGGTGGGGAGCCACAAAAATCTCGCCTTTAAACTTACACTCACCATTTTCTTCGAAAATATATGCGAGTTCCACAAAATGGTCTTTGGAAAAAAAACTATAGTGATTCTGAAAGAGCAGAACATGGGCTATCATCCCATGGTGTTATCTCAATTTTCAGTTTTTTGATGAAGATCGACTTTTTTGGAAGGGAGGAGCTTAAGATAAAAAAATTTTGATATTCCTAAATTTTATTGTGAAACACAATATGAGAGTTGTAATGAAGCTTATCAGGCAAGAAATATGACACAATTCCGCCTGATCTTCTCCCGTAAAACGCGGTAAGTATCATCAAGCGCCATCATGGCAGATACATCATGTTTCAGGCTAATATCTTTGAGTTGATTACGTTGACAAATATATTCATTGATCTTCTAGATTTATTGTGTACGAAAAAATATAAATAATACTTCTGACAACAAAATATCAATTATGTCAAAGCAACATGTTGCTATCATTGGAGGTGGAGCATCTGGTCTGGTTACATTGAAGGAATTAAGGGAGGAAGGGCACACCGGAATTATCTTTGAACGTTCATCACATGTTGGTGGTATTTTCAAGACTGTTTATCAAGAAGGTCAAATGGTATCGTCAACAATTATTACCATGTTCTCTGATTTTCTCGGGTCTGAGGGTGAACGTATCCTCACCCATCCACGCATGTTAACTTTCGGTAAGTCTAATCAAAACTATTGAGCGATGAGTAAATTTGCCATGCTGTCGTCCACTATATTTTAATATTTTAATAGTCTAGTTTCTTAATGCTTCCCAGGTTGAACAAACTGGCATTAAGATCAGGTATAAATTCTTGTATGATCATATCCGATCTTAGTCAAGAATCGCATATGATCATACAAGATCATACGGAAAATCATACGAAAAATCGTCGTCTCTGCGATCTGATGTCAGATCTTACATCAGATTTCGTATATAATCCAACAGTAAGATCTTATAAGAAAATAATGAGTATAAGACTGCTACGAAGAACATTACTTGATTTTTAACAAAAATCACATTTATTTATTCGAGCTTTCGATAGGTATCTCCTATCATCATCAGTAATGACAATACAAAAAAGAAAACTATGTTTATATATTAGATATGAAATGAGAGATCAAGAAAAGTTAATTGGTTGTTAATAATAATTCGAAGTATTATGTTCGTAGAACTTAAATTGCCCACAAAATTACGCCTTTCGGCGTTTATGATCATCCGAATACGTTCAGTTTGAATTTTACATCATTCAATGATTGATCTAATGATTGGTGCGTGTATAAGCTTTCTTTTATTACTCTGCGATTCCATTTACTTTCGAAGGTTAACGTTTCCGCTTGATCAAATTTAAATGTATGTTTTTGTTCTATAACA